TCTCTCTGGGTCTCTGTCCCCCTCTCTCTGGGTCCCCGTCCCCCCCTCTCTGGGTCTCTGCCCCCCTCTCTCTGGGTCCCCATCCCCCCCTCTCTGGGTCTCTGCCCCCCTCTCTCCGTCTCTGTATCGCTGTCTCGGTCCCCACTGCTTTCCCTCGCCGCCGGCCCTACGTGTCTCCCCGCCCCCCGGCCTCGCGCGGCCCCGGGTCGGGCCGGGAAGCGGCGGATCCGGTTTGCCGAGGGCGGGTCTGGAGCCGGCCGGTGGAGGGCGTGTGCGCAGGCCGCCCGCTGCCGGCTCTCGGCCGCTGCTGCAACATGGTGGTTCCGGAGAAGGAGCAGGTACGGCGGCGGGACCCCCGGGCCTCACAGAGCCCGGCCTCTGCTTCCGCGGAGACGAGGGCGCTGCAGACCCGACTCCTGGGTCTGACGGAGTTGGTCGGCCCGGGCCCTGGGGAAGGGTAGGAGGGCGCTGGGGGCCGAGCCTCCTGGGCTGGGGAGGGGGGGCCTGGGACCCTGGGGCAGGGTGCGGAGTGCGGACCTGAGCCCCCTTTCCCGCCCCCGACCGCGTCCCCAGAGCTGGATCCCCAAGATTTTCAGGAAGAAGATCTGCACCACGTTCATCGCTGACCTCTCGGATCCGGGGTGAGTACTTGTCCCTGCGACCCTCCGGGAGCGCTCCGCCCACAGCCGGCCCCTTCCCCCCATTCCCGTCATTGTGGACGGTCCCGAAAGCGCTCTCTGCCCCCCTGCACACACACACACACACACACTCTGGGATTGTGTAAACCGTTGCTCTCAAATTGATGCCAACTCATAGCGACCTTATAGGACATAGGTTTTCTAGGCTGTAATGGGAGCTCTGGTCTCATAGTGCCTAAAGCACTTGACTGCTAACTAGAAGGCTGGCGGTTCAAACCCACCAGCCACTCCTCCGAAGGAAGCTTGGGCAATCTACTTCTGTAGTGACAGTGCCTCGGAAACCCAAGGAGGGGTCGCTGTGAGTCGGGGCCGACTCGACGGCACATAACAACAACAACAATCATTACAGACGCACCCTGCCACATTTTTCTCCCGAGCAGTGGGCTGGCGGGTTCCAACCGTGACTTTTTGTTTAGCAGGTTAGCCCTTACCCACCAGCGTTTAACCAGGGCCCGAGGTGGGGTGGGGTGTGCTGTGTGGACAACCCCAAAGCCCTAATTCGCCGTTCAGGCTCAGTGTAAAAGCAGGACTCTGTCTCTTCTGGGTGACCCCGACTCATTCTGTCTCTTTCTTCCCCTTTTGCCTGTCTTCATTTCACTTATGCATGCATTTATTCATTCAAAACGTTCCTCTGCACTCTATGGGAGGGGGTTATGATTGCCAGGAGCCCAGGCCTGTCAGCGTCCAAATCCCACATGGGCCATGTGCTTTGTGGCTTTGGGCAAATCACTCCATCTCTCTGGGCCTCATCTGTTGTCTGGGCCTAAAAATCGGGCCCTACCTCCTGGGGTTATTGTGGAGATTAAACAAGCTAATGCATGTAAGGTTTCTGGAACGGTCCCAGGCACATGGTACCAAAGCGGACTCACTGCTGTGGAGTCATTTGCGGGCTCACTGCTCCTACAGGACAGAGTGGAGCTGCCCACAGGGTCTCCAAGGCTGTCAATCTTTACGGAAGCAAAGCCCAAACCAAACTCACTGCTGTGAAGTCGAGTCTGACCCACAGCGCCCCTAGAGGACAGAGTGGAACTGCCCCACAGGGTCTCCAAGGCTGTCAGTCTTCACGGAAGCAGATCATCAGATCTCTGGGAGCCACCAACTTTTTGGTTAGCAACCGAGCTTAGCCATTGAACCCTGGACCTCCTCCTTTTGGGGATGAGTGCTCAAACACCTCTTACTGATGGGACAGGTGTGGTCAGAGAAGCTTAGGGACCTCTGATCTGGTGGGAGCAGGTGGACACATGAAGATGGTGGAGGTACCACTAGGCCCCGTGGGAGCTGAGAGGAGGCGCCTGGCTGAGATGGGAAGGGGCAGCCACTAGTGGTTTCTGGAGGAGGAGGGGACAGCGAGGTGACATTTGAAAGATGATTTGGCATTTGGCAGTTGAAGGTGAGGTGGAGACAGGGGTGTGGACAGGGATTCCTGGGACCAGAATAGCGTGTGCAAAGTCCTCCCCGAACGACACTGTGTGTCTTGAAAGAGGAGCAAAGTTCAAGGTGCAAGGAATATGGCCAAGAGAGGAAGGTGTGGGGGAGGACGGGCCAGACCATGAAGGGCCTCGGGCTCCCCTCCACGGAGCTGGGACTTTGCCTCGGGGTGCCGGGGAGCCATGGGCGGTGCAGGGTCAGCGCTGGGTGTGGGAGGCCAGAGAGGAGGCTGGGGCCAGGATTCAGGCAGGAGGGAAAAAGGCGACAGGGCAGAGACTCAGGGGGGCAGGAGGATGGGACTTGGGGACCAGTGGATATGGAGAGTGAGAGAAGAGGGGACAAGCATGGTTCCTGGGCATCTAGTCTGGTGACTGGAGGGACAGTGGCGTCCCCTTCTCCCCCAGATGGGGAACACAGGAGGAGGAGCGGGCTTGGGAATGGTTGCAACATCATGCCTGGGAGGGAGGAATCCACAGGCGTGTGGAGACCCTGGTCACCACGTGCGGCTGCTATGGGAAGGCTGGGGGTTAGGATCCACTCAGCGGTGCTGCAGAGGAAAGATGTGGGGATAGGCTTCTGTAAGATCACAGCCGCTGAACACGCTACGGAGCACAGCCCTCCTCCTGAGACACCTGGGGTTGCCGTGAGACAGAACTGACTCCAAAGCAACTTTCCAAGGCTCAGTTTGTTTGTTTTTTGGCTTTAGCTGGAGATGGTAATTAAAACCATGGAAGTGGGTGAGATGTCACAGAGACAATGTGTGACGTTTTGCATATGGCAATTGGCCATAGGACAATTTGCTTTTTCTTTTTGCCTGAAAGTGTATTGTTTAATGCCTTACCCACCAGCTGCCTCATGGAAGAAGGATGTGGCAGTCAGCTTCCATAAGGATTGACAGCCTTGGAAACCGTGTGGTGCAGTTCCACTCTGTCCTCTAGGGGCGCTGTGAGTCAGAATCGACTCCAGGCAGTGGGTGTGGTTTGGGCTTTGCTTCTGTAAAGATTACAGCCTGGGAGACCCTGTGGTGCAGTTCCACTCTGTCCTCTAGGGGCGCTGTGAGTCGGAATGGACTCCAGGGCAGTGGGTGTGGTTTGGGCTTTGGTTCTGTGAAGACTGACAGCCTTGGAAACCGTATCGGGCAGTTCCACTCTGTCCTCTAGGGGCGCTGTGGGTCAGAATCGACACCACAGCAGCGGGTGTGGTTTGGACTTGACTTGCATGAAGATGACAGCCTTGGAAACCCTGTGGGGCAGTTCCATTCCCATATGGGGTTGCTATGAGTTGGAATCTGGCTGGCAATGGGTTTGGTTTTGGTTTATGACTAACAGCCAGCCCATTTGAAATCACCATCGCCTCTGGCACTTCCATGTATTTGCTGTCTGATCCTTCTTTCCATTAAGTGAACTGCCTGGCCCCTGGGAGCATTGAGTTTGAGAGTCCCGGAGGGACGTCATTGAGGTTCTCACTCTGGGAACACCTATATTCACACGGGAGGCACAGAGGAAGAGAAAGTCATAAATGAGCAAAGCACAGAGCATCCTAAGAGGGGAGGAAGGTCAGAGGGCAGGGTGTATCTGGCCAAGGAGAAGGCTTTCCAGGCTCCGAGTGGTCACCTGCAACCACGTGTCCAACACCAATCTGTGGTAGAGTCAGACTGAGTCCATTGGTAGTATCCTCTATGGAGTCCTTTGCGTTTGGGGGCGGGGAGGGAATTGCCAATCTTATCTTGAGCATTTGACTGCTAACCAGAAGGCTGGCGGTTCAAACCCACCAACCACTCCTGGGAAGGACGGTTAGGCAATCTACTTCCCTAGTGATGTTGTTGTTGTTGTTATGTGC